CTGCTGCATTGTAAATTTTGGTCAATGACATGAGACAAAGTATATGTGAACTGCTGTATGAAAAGTGAATTTACTCTGTAAATCTTCACCCAAATCCTTAAAAAAAAAAAAAAAAAGAATAGCCGTGCTATGACCGTGGCTTGGATAAAAACAACTCAGAAGATGATTAAGTGGATTACCTTTATGAAATGTGCCCTCTCTGTGCCCCCCTCTTTCCATAAGGGCACATAGGAAGGATTAGCATTTGGGTTTCTAGAGGATGTTCATGGATCCTTGCTGCTTGCAGGTGTTTAAGCTAGAGTTAGGTGGTACATTTAGCCTCTAAAATTCCTATGATTTGACTGTTCCTGTGTCTGTATTTGTTAGGGGGTTTGTATGTTTGTGAAGAGTGGTTGGAATTTGGTCCTGATCCCAGTGTGGGGTTGAGGTGGAAGTGTTCCACAGGTGGGTAATAGATCTCATCATGTTGCTTTTTTCTTAAAGACCTAATGGCCCAGCCAAAAACCCAAAACCAAATACACTGCTATGGAGTCGATTCCAACTCATAGACGACCCCCTCTCCCCTGCCTGCCCCATAGGATTTCCAAGGCTGTAAATCTTTACTGAAGCAGACTGCCTCATCTTTCTCCTGTAGAGTGGCTGGTGGGTGTGAACTGACAACCTTTTGGTTAGCAGCCAAATGCTTTAACCACCACACCACCAGAGTTCCTAAGTAGGAGCCAGCAGGTGAGAAAGTAAGGGTTGTCATGTGGACATTCCAAACTTGGAGCTGATGTCTATTTGACAGCTTGAAGGATGGTATCTTTTTAACTTGGGAATTTTGACGTAGGTCCGGGTGGCTAGGGTCAGAGAGACAAGAGCTATGGGGAATGGGGAAATGGGAATGTGAGGACTGAATCAGGCTCTACATTTTGAAGTTGGATTCATGCTGTTCTTTACTGGGCAGCCAGGAAAAGAAGAGATTGGGTGAGTCCAGGAGGAGGCAGAGAGAAGACTGCTCTGGTAGAGCAGCAGAAAGTTGAGAGATGGCGATACGTATAATAGGTGAGATTTTTGGCCATTTGTTGTATCTACCAGGTACTGGTCTGAGCATCTGACCAAAAACCAAACCCATTGCCATTGAATCAATTCCCTATAGGACAGAGGAGAATACTCTATAGGGTTTCCAATGCTGTAATCTTTATGGAAGCAGACTGCTGCCACATCTTTCCCCAGAAGAGTGGCTGGTGAGTTTGAACTGCGACCTTTTGATTTGTAGCCTAGTGCTTTAACCACTGTGTCACCAGGGTTCTGTGACTCCTTTCTTCCTGTAACCACCTTAAGAGGTAGATGCTATTATTATTCTCATTCTGTGGGTGAGGAAACAGGTTGGGAGGTTAAATAAATTTCTCAACGTTCCTGGGATGAGCATAAAGCATGAGGTGGGTGAGGTGTGGTGAGAGATGAGACCGGCATGGTAGGCAGAGCAGAACCCAAGCCATGAAAAGGCCTTGTTGAGGAGTTTGGGCTTTATCCTGAGGTAAGGGGCCTATGATTCTGTCTGCATTTTAGAAGGATATCTCTGGCAACCGTTTTTGGGGGGTGGATTGAAGGGCTAGC